CTTTTAAAAAGATTTTAGTAAAAATCTTTGGTATTACCAAGACTACTTGAATTGTCATTTCTGGTGCTCTTCTTTCTTCTTTGTATGTCTAGCCTTTTTTCTCTTCAGGGATTCCTTTGACATTTCTTATAGAGTTAGAATGCTGGTTGCAAATTCTTTCATTAAGTCTAAACAAAGCACTTATTTCCCTTCATTGAATAGCTATTCTTGGTTGGGTATAGGATTTTAAGTTGGTATAATTACTCTTTTGGTTCTTGTTCCACTGTCTTATGATTTCATTATTTCTATTAAGTATGTTCTCAACTGTATCTTTGCTTCTCTATAGTGAATATGTCTTTTTTCTCTATTTATTTTAATGAATTTTTCTTTCTCCCTGGCTTGAAGCATGATGACATGCCTTGCTATAATTTTTTTTATATATATAAATCTTCTGTTTGTAGTTTAATGGTCTTTTTGGATCTTTGGGGGTTTTTTTAATTTTTTTTTTTTTTTTTTTTTTTTTTAGTTTTCGGCGGACACAACATCTTTGTTTGTATGTGGTGCTGAGGATCGAACCCGGGCCGCACGCATGCCAGGCTAGCACGCTACCGCTTGAGCCACATCCCCAGCCCCTGGATCTTTGGTTTTATACTTTATACCTAATTTGAAAAATTTGGAGCCATTATTTATCCAAATATTTTTTTTTGTCCTTCCCTGCTTTCAAGGAGTCCATTTATAAGCATATTATGGCATTTGTGGTTGTACCAATACCAGTTCACTGATGTTCTGTTCATTTTCTCCATCCCTTTTCTCTGCATTTTGTTATTATATTTTCTGTGGCTAAATCTTGAACTTTACTCATCTTTTCATCTTTCCTATTTTAATTCCTTCCTGTGGAAAACAAATGAGCTGACCCTGCAGTGGAGGCAAAAGCCAAGCCTGGGAAACATTCCTTGCCAAAAGGTGAGGATGTGAACAGCCTTGATACTGGGCTCTGACATCAATAGTTATCAGATGTTCCAGTACAATGGGTTTTCTGGGTACAGCAGGATAGTCGCAGGATGTTCCTAATACTGTAACAGCAGGATAGCCACCAAATGTTCTAACTCTGCAACATTTTAGTGCACAAAGAAGCCTCTTGATAACTCAGAAGCCTTAAACAATTTACAAAGCTTCTGTAGTTTAACTTTTTGATAATGAGACCCTGTATAATAAACATGAGCTAATTCTGGGTCACTGTTCCTCTGTCGGAGGACAGTGTCCCTCCTGGCTCCAGCTTTGCTTTAAAATGTCTCTGTGTTTTTCTTTGTTTCTATGCTTCTTTAAAAAACATTATTTTATTTGTGGATGGACACAATAACTTTATTTTATTTGTTTATATGTATTTTTTATGTGGTGATGAGGATCAAACCCACAGGCACTGGGCAGGCACTCTACCACTGAGCTGTACCCCAGCCCCATGTCTCTGTGTTTTTCTTATCTCCTGTCACACCTACTTGAGATCCGTTGTTGATGCTGAGTAGGTTGTGGCACCTTCTAGTGTATTTTTTCTGGTGATTTATAAATAGTTTTCAAATGTTAGAGTCTGTAAGCAAGTCAAAATAACACCTGGCATTCTGCCAGGGGAATGTTAGAGTTCGTAAACAAGTCTGGATGGTGCCTGGCAAAATGCCAGAGGGAGTGGTTTGAGAAGTAACAAAAGTGAGCCATTAAGTGTGGAGATTCCTGATTGGTTGACTGCTGTATCTAGTTTATGCTAATTAGATAAGCTGTGTGGAATGTATAAATACTGCTCCTGTCCTGCAATAAACGGCTTCCACTCCTGCTGTATCAACGTACACAAGTTGTTCGTCACCCCTCGGTTATTTTGCCCAGCCAGCCGGGCTGCGGCATTCATATCTATTAGTTTGATTTGGTTTTTGTTTTGAGTTTTAAGCATTTTGTGGTAAAATATTCATCCATAAATTTTTCATTTTAACATTTTATGTGTCTAACTTGGTTTCATTAAGTATATTCATAAGGTCACATAACAACTTTTGCTACCCCTAAAACTCTCATCATTTCAAACAAATTCTGTACCCATTGATGGCATCTGCTTTGTTTTTCATGACAATGAGTTTTATCAAATGATTTTTCTGTATCCAGTAGAGCTGATCATGTGCATACATTTATTTATTTAAAAATATTCTTTAGATGTTGATGGATGTTTATTTTATTTATTTACTTATATGTGGTACTGCGAATCAAACCCAGTGCCTTACACATGCTAGGCAAGCACACTACCACTGAGCCACAACCCAACTCCTAAATACAGCATTTAAATTTATAATCCCTCTAACATGCTGCTTGTTCCATTCATTAGTATTTTGTTAAGGATTTATGCATCAGTATTGTAAAGGAAAACTGTGGCTTCTTTTCTTTGTAGTACCATTGTTTGACTTTCGATTCCGGGTGCACTTGGTCTCACAGAACGAATTGGAAAGCATTCTCTCTTCTTCAGTTGTTCAGAAGTTGAGAAGCATTGTTGCTAACTTTTCTTTAAGTATTTGGCAAATTTTACCAGTGAAGTCATCTTGTCCTGGCCTTTCATCACTGGAGGTTTTTGATTACAGATTCAATCTCCTCACAAGTTATAGTTCTAATCAGATTTTCTGTTTCTTCATGATTCAGTGTTAGTAGATTATGCATTTCTAGAAATTTGTTTACCTCTTCTGGGTTATCTAACTTTTTCTGGTGTAGTGTTTTCTTTGAATCCATTCTCTTTCTGCAAGGTTCATAGTAATGAGACAGAAAGCACCAAAGGGAAAAGTGCAAATGCAGTTCTGGGCCTTGGTGTATGGCCTGACAGCAGACCTCAGAAGACTTGTGCCACCCTCAACCAGTGTCAGCTTTGTATCATTGAGGTCAGGGTGCTACATATGTGTTCTCTTTAACATTTACAGTAACATCTTTAGCACAGGATAAAATGGTGAGTTGAGTATACCCAAAGTTAATTGACATGATCGCCCCTAAAAATAAACAATAAAAGGAGCTCCTTAGACATTAAAAAGACAACTTGGGCCAGGTGCTGTGGCACATGCCTGTAATCACAGAGGCTTAGGAGGCTGAGGCAGGAAGCTCTTGGGTTCAAAGCCAGCCTCAGCAACTTAGTAAGGCCCTAAGCAACTCGGTGAGACTCTGTCTCTAAATAAAATACAAAAAGGGCTGGGGATATGGCTCAGTTGTTAAGTGCCCCTGGGCTCAATCTGATGTCTTCTTCTCAGAGCACTGTCTCTCTTTCTAAATGAAATCTCCAGTAAAATCCATGCCTGTATATTTGCTCACCTGACTTGATTTGTGTCTATTTTCATCTATTTAAAATGTTACAGGGCACAAGTTCTACTGTGAAATTGAAATAGCCCAAAGGCCTTCTTTCACCAGGGTTCTTGCAATCATGCCAGAAAGATTTAAGACATATGGCTCAGAATAACAGCATGAGTTTATTAGAAGTGATAGGAAAAGGGTACACTCTCAAGGGAGAGAGTGGGTCCTCTAAGAGAGGAGAGGATGCTGCGCCCCTTCTGCTTCCAGTTTTACTGGGAGTCCCAGGGAGGTTTCCAAAGTCCCACCCAAGTCTACCTCTGACATTTTATTTTTTTATGTGATGCTGAGGATCAAACCCAGTGCCTCACACATGCTGGCAAGCACTGAGCTACAACCCCAGCCCCCACGCACAGCATAAGAGCTGCTTTAACTGCCTCAAAGTAATGGTGTGGCATTCACAAAGGAAATTGAGTCCCTCTGTTTTTAACCTCAATTTCCTGCCCCCTTAATCAGTTTTCTATCCTTTGAATCAGTTTTCTACCCTCAGCAAGCTTTCTTTGTGAGGGTCTTGATGCTTTACTTGCCAGAATGATTGGGGGGTTGTAATAGTTTTGATGATAAGGGAGGGTCCAGGCTACCTGGTGGGGTGTGACATGATCTTGAACCAATATTTTTTCTTAAGGGGATGTTATTATGGTTGGGGAAAGTTTTGACACACCAGACCCGGGTCTTCCAGGTGCTTTTCTGTCAGATAAGTGTCCCTGTGGTTTTCAGTGGCTCTTCAATGTCTTTTCTCTGCTCATCCATTCATGACTGAGTAGTTACCTAACAAAAAAATCCCAATGTCCTCTGGTGTCAGTAATATCTCTGCTTTCATTTCTAAATTTAGCAATTTGCTCTGTGTTTTTAAGTCAATATAGCTAAAGGTTTATCAATTATGTTTATATTTTCAGAATTTATATATATATATATATATATATATATATATATATATATATATATATATTTTTTGTTTCTTTTTTATTTTTTTTGGTAATTTATTTATTTATTTATTTATTTATTTTAGGAGAGAGAGAGAGAGAGTTTTTTAATATTTACTTTTAGTTTTCGGCGGACACAACATCTTTGTTTGTATGTGGTGCTGAGGATCGAACCCGGGCCGCATGCATGCCAGGCGAGCGCGCTACCGCTTGATCCACAACCCCAGCCCCTGGTTCATTTTTTTTTTTTAACTGAAAATGTTTACCGACAGATAAGTTGTAAACGATTCTTGGCATACTTCATCCCAAATTTCTGATCCCTGGAGGACATCCAATCATCCTTCCTGTCCTAGTCTGGTCCATTGTGGTCTGGTAAACGTATTGCTCCATTGCATGATGAGCCTGTGACTTCGGAACAACAAGAAGTACAAGACGATAACCGGGCATGGTCTGGGAAGCTGCGAACAAGTTCTGCTCAAATGCAATTATGACCCAGATTGGGCCAGGACCGTCCCTGGGGAGGCAGCCGGGAATTGGCAAGGGCTATGACGTCCTGATCCTGTCAATTCCACTCAACCACAAGATCGCTTCTCCTGTCACTCAGTGGGGTGGGCACTGGGTCACTAGCCAATCAGGCTCTCAGGGGCGGGGCCATGCTTGCTCTCTGAACCGTGAGGTTGTGGTTTCTGCCGCCGCTAGGCTCGGAACCGGCCTCAGCTTTTGTTGGCGGCGACACCTCGGATGACCGCAGGAGCCTTAGGGAGGACGTTAGGGACCCCAGAAGCTGGGAAATGGTGAGTGGGAATCCCGTGTTCTGAGACCAGGGAAGACAGGCTGGTTGGAACCGGCGGAAACCGCTTGTGGCAGGGCCGGCCTCCCCGCATCAGCTCCGGAGTTTGCGGCCGCCGCCGGCGCCGCTTGGCCCTCGGTCCCCCCTGGCCCGGGGTGGCTGGAGGATCCCCCCCCCCGCCCTCTCCGGTCCCACCGCGGCCGCTTGGGCCCGCCCGGGGTCCCGGAGTCCCGGAGCTCCGGAGCGCAGTCGGGCAGCAATGTGCCCGCAGCCCGCGTCTCCCTGGACTGTGCGGTGAGGACCGGGGAGGCTCTGTCTTTTGAAAAACCGAAATTCAGGTGAAGTCCAGGTTAACAGTTTCTCATCCACAGATCCTGCTTTTAGATCCTGAAAATTGCTTGCCAAACTCAAGGTCGTTTTGCTTCTGGATGTTGTCTCCTAGAAGTTCTAAACTTTGCATTTTACATTTAGATTTACGATCCACTTTGCGTTTAAGTGTGTGTCTGCTGTATTTCTTTGCATATGGATGTCCGGGTGGTCCAGTATTATTTGTTGAAAGGACCATATTTTCATCATTGAATTTCCTTTGCTCTTTTGTCAAAGATCAATTGACCAATTTTTGTGGGTTTATTTTTGGGTTTTCTGTTTGGTCGAACTATGTTTATTCTTTCCTCTTGATTATTGTAGTTTTATATTAAGTTTTAAAGTTAGGTCAATCCTGTCAATCCTGTGTACTTTTTATTCTTCAATATTGTTTTGACCATTCTGTTTTTTCTTTTGTTTTGTTTGCCTTTCCATCCAACCTTTAGATTTTTTTTTTTTTTTTGGTTATTGGTAACCTAACTTGTCAGTGTTTTTATTGGGATTGTGTTGAATTCATAGTTAAAATGGAGAACTGACATTTTAATAATATTGAGGTGTCCTATCTATGATCATGGAATATCTCTCCATTTATTTGGTTATTCCATATTTGTACTAGAAATTTATAGTTTTTGTCATATAGGTCTTTGTTAGACTTATATAAAAATATTCCTCTTTTTATTGTTGGTGCTATGTAAGGGGTGCTGTGTAGTGGTGCTGTATTTTTAATTTCAAATTCAGTTATTCATTGCTGTTATGCAGGAAAATGATAGCCTTTTGTATATTAATCTCATATTCTATAACTTTGCTATATCATCTTATTAGGTTCTTGAGTTTTTTGTTGATTTTGGAATTTTCTACATAGACAGTTGTGTCATCTATGGACAGTTTTTTTCCTTCTCAATTTTAATGGTTCACCTTCCCTCTTTTCTTGCTGTGTGATTCTTTGCAATTACTGGTATGATCATATGAATTTTGTTATTTAGTTTGTTTATGTGATGGGTCATTAATTGATTTTTTAATTTTTACTTTTTGAATGGTGGGAATTGAACCTAGGGCCTTCTACCACTGAGTTATGTTCCCAAACCATTTTATTATTATTATTATTATTTTTTGAAGATATGGTCTAAGTTGTGGAGGCTGGCTTTGAACTTGTGATCCTCCTGCTTCAGCCTGGGAGTCCCTGAGATTACATTTTAAGATTCAATCTGTTAACATTTGTTGAGGATTTTTACATCTATCTTCCGTAGTTTTCCTTTTTTGTAATGTCTCTGTCTTGGGTTGTTGTAGGGTAATGTTAGCCTTATTGCATTAATTAGGAAGTGTTCTGCTTTTATTTTGTGGAAGGGATTCTGGAGAACAGGTATCAATTTTTCCCTAAATGTTTGGAAGAATTTACCAGTGAGATCATCTGGGCCTAGTTCTTCCTTTTTTGGAGTATTACTAGTCATTGATTCAATTTATTAATACAGATTCATATTGTTATTTCTCCTCATGTGCCTTTTGATAGGTTGTTCCTTTCAAAGAATTTGCCCCTTTCATCTAAGTTACCAAATTTGTGGTCATGAAATTTCATAATATTCCTTTATGATCTTCTTTAATATCCATGGAATCAGTAGTGATGTTCCCTCTTTCATTTTTTTTGCCTTTTTTTTTTTGGCTTGGCTGTAGGTTTAATGATTTTATTAATATTTTTGAAGAACCAACTTTTGGTATTGTTGCTGAGGCTGGCCTCAAACCTGCAATCTTCCTGCCTCAGCCTTCTAAATTGCTGCAATTACAGGTGTGTGCTACCAGTCCCAGCTGAACAATACACTTTTGAACAATGAATGGATCACACCAAGAAATAGAGGAGATTTCTACTTTGAAATTGACCTAATCTAGTGGATTAAATGGATTGAAATGCATCCCAGTGGATTGAAATGGATCCAATCTAGTGGAGAGACTTTTTATTCTTTCATTTTCAATATTTCTGTTTGATTCTTCTTCAGAATTTCTCTCTTTATTGAAATACTCTTTCATATCCCATATTTTCCTACCGTTATTCATTCTTTGAGCTTCTTTTAATTAATTGATTATTTTAACTATTAAGTTTTTGAATTCTTTGGGATTTTATCCACTTGGACATCTATGGATTCACTTATTAGGGAGTTATATGCCTTTAGAGGCATCCTATTTCCTGGTTTTCTCATGTTTCCTGTATTTCAATATTGATGTATTGAAATTTATATCCAATTGGAACCCCATAAAATCCAGACCAAAGAAAGAATTTTAAAGGCTATAAGAGAGACACACCAGTTCACAATTACAGGAAAATGAATGAGGATAACATCAGATTTCTCAACAGAAACATGGAAGTCCAGGAGGGCTTGAAACAATGTATTCATGCCCTAACAAAACAATGGTCAGTCCATTCAATCTGCTTGAATGATGACTCCCCTACTGTTTTATGGAAGTCTCTTTAGTAAACCGCTTTCTCTTTACTATGTGTCTGGAGCCAGGGATCTATTTCTGTCAAAGGACCCGCTGAACATGTTCACTATCCTTTGATCAATTCCTGGCCCTACATTGCAACTGTCATTACTTGAAAGCTAAGTGTATACTAATATACCATAAATACTTATTAAGAACATTTTCTATAACTCTATAGTACAGAATTAGAAACTGGAGTAATAACCTGTAATAGGCTAAAAAAATTAAAAAATTAAAATCAATATACATGTAGGGTATGAAAACAAAAGAGAAAGAAGAAGAGGTATAAAAGGGAAAAGTAAAGGAAAAAAATTGGGGAAGGAAAAGAGGCTGAAGAAGAAAAAGCAAGTAGCAGAAAAAAGGTTGAGTGAGAGTATAGAAGAAAAAGAAGAGAAAGCTGAAATGAATAAATTCTTTACTTCGAAGAAAAAAGAAAGAACATATAAGTCAAAGAAACAGTAAACCAAAAAAACGAAAACAAACCCAAACAAAATAAATAGGAAAAATGGGAGGGAAGTAAGAGAGACCGAAGGAAAAGTGATGAGAGAGAAAAGGAAGGGGGGAAATAAGAGGAATAGAGTATAGGAAGAAGGATGAGTACCCAGCAGCTAAAAGTCCATGTGATGAATACCCAGCAGCTTTGGCAAGTGTGTGTGCACACCTATATCCCTGGGACTAACAACTCACTTTGCTGTTTCCTTCCCCAGGGATATTAGGGTGACTCTGAAAGTTTCACATGATGAATCCCAGTGACTGCAACAGGTGTAGACACCTGTACCCCTGTGAATATCCTACTACTCTTGCCCTATCCTGTGAAACCCAGATGGCTCTGAAAGTCCCATGACAAATTCCACTGCGTGAGATCTGGACAGATTAAATTGTCCCAAAGTGCAATAGTGTGTATAGTCCTGTGTAAAACCCAAACTGCCAGTTTCAGAAGTCCCATCATCAGCCTTTCACAGATTAGAGCTCCCAGTGGGTTCATGCCATAGTCCCATTCCTGATCCTCAGATGATTTTTTGATTGGGCACACATTAACCAAATTAGGGGGAGGGAGAAATTAGCATGAGGTTGTTGGGTCTTGGGGATTCAAAAAATAAGAGAAAAAAAGAGAGAGGACAAAACAAACAAACAACAACAAAAACCAACCAAACAAACAAAACCATGCAGGGATTTCTCATCTCTCATGCAACCTAGACAGTGATGTCGCTTTTAAGAGTATCCTTGAGTCCAGAAGAAAATATCTGGGAATGCAGGTATGCTATTCAGCCACATCATTATTGTTCGGCTGTATTTAAATCTTTGTTCTGCTCAAACTGCATACATGCCTGATAGTAGAGTTGGCCTTTTCTTGTTTTAAAAATATTTTTAGTTATATATGGACACAATACCTTTATTTTGCTTATTTATTTTTTTTGTGGTGCTGAGGATTGAACCTGGTGCCTCATATGTGTGAGCTACAGCCCCAGACCTAGAGGTGGCCTTTCTTGAAATCTTTAAGATTCTTCTCTTTTCCAGCTCTCTGGAGAGGAGTTTCCCTTCCCTCATGGAGCAGCCATGTGCTCAGCACTGATGGAAGTCTATTTCTCTTTCTTCTTTTTTAAACTCTTTCATAATTCTAAACAACCAGTGTTCCTGTTCCTCAACCGCTCACTGACTCTTGAGTTAGAATTCAGAACTTGCCCTCTGCTCCCCTTTCTCATTGTGCAGCTGCACAACTGTTGATTCAGTTCAATTGTAGGGAGTAGCCAGTATGTGCTGACTACAAAACTTTCCATTCTTCAAAACATAAATATATAAATATGCATGGAAAATCTCCCACTCTTCACTATATATATTGTATATCAAATATGTATGAAATATCCTATCTATTCCACTCAAGAAATATTTGTCTTTGATTTCTGAATGTGTTCTAGGCTGATCACATTGTCCATGGAATAACTGGAAATGCAATGTATTTTTTTTTCAAGTAGAGACCAGTTTACCTTACCCCATGTTTTAAAATGGTTGTGATTTCTCACTCTGCTCTAAAGTGCCACTCTATGCCAGCTCATGGAAAACTCCTTTCCTTTTGGCTATTTGTTTTCTACTAATACTAGGCTGCTTTGAATATTAGATTTGAAAGTCCTTAATGTATGTGAGGCAAGCCATACATTAAGACTTTGGTCATTGTTAGACTTGTTTTTCCTTTTAGGTTATTAAAAGCAGTTTTTGTTGACTACTGAAGAGTATGTTTTAAAGATTTATGAGATTTTTATGAGGTATGTTTTGGAAGAGGTGATGTCAAATTGGTTATATTGAGTTTTTTCTAAGAACATGTGTCATCTTAACACTGATATAATTCTGGTTTGACAATGCTCAATATAAATTTAAAAATTGTTCTGTTAGGATCGTTACATAATGATAATTTTTCATAGTACTTTATTAAATTTAGCTGGAGTTAAGTGCTTGCAAGTTCCCAAATGATCTCTCTTGGTGTAAATACATAGGAAGAATTCATTTTCCCAAAGGACAAGTTGTTAAAACATGCATGAAATAGTGTCTACCAGGTAATAAGCTCAATAGACTCAGTGCACAGTGGGGTCTAATCCTCTAGGTACCACAGTGAGCATGGAACAAATTAATAGACATTCAGAAGGAAAACAGGAGTTCAGAAAGGACTATAGTATTTACATAAATCATGTAGGCACAGTTAAGCACTCTTATAATTTATGTTGGTGAACTACTTCAAGTTCCAAGTTCCCTGATACTAGCAAAATTTGAACTATGTGAGCAGACTTGGGACTGCTAATGTTAACTCTTTGTTATGACAGAAACCAGTTCTACAAAGACAAGTTAGGGTGATCTAGCAGCACTTCTCACTCCCTGAGCCCACTAATAAGAGGATGTTCCAACTGTGCTGTTCCCTCTCTGAGTAGCTCAATTCTAGAATTAGAACTTCTGTGTGGAAGGGAGTGTCATCCAAGGACAAGAATTCTCATGACCAAATCATGGAGTATATTTGGAAACCATAGAATCATGTGAACCTTTTATGAATTGAGTGTAGATCCTGTGTTGTCAGTTGGACTCATTCTCTTGTACATGTATGTGGAATGTTTTAGGATTCAGTGGCTTTTCAGGATGTAGCTGTGGACTTTACCCAAGAGGAATGGGCTTTGCTAGATCCTTCCCAGAAGAATCTCTACAGGGATGTAATGCTGGAAACCTTCAGGAACCTGGCTTCTGTCGGTAAGAATGACATCATCCCTTTACTTAGTCAGTTAGAGGACAAGTGTTTCTTGGTCATGCATGCTGTTCTGTGATTTGGAATGTAAAAAGGGAAAAATTTGGTGAGTTGATCATAGGCATAGGCATAGGAATCATTATAGTGTACACTCAACCAAGAAAGTAATAATAATTTTCATATAATTTTTTCGTTGGTACTTGGGATTGAACCCAGGGAGGACACTCTACTTACCATTAAGCTACTCATCCATCACCCAGCATTTTTTTTTTTTTTTTTTGGACAGTGTCTCACTGTTGCCCAGGCCAGCCTTAAACTTGCAATCCTCCTGCTTTAGCCTTTTTACTGGTTGGGATTATGGGTGTGTAGCACATTCCTGGACAATTTTTAAATAATTTCTAATAAGTCATAATTCTTGTGTCCCCATTTTAGGAAACAAATGGAAAGATCAGAACATTGAAGATCAGTACAAAAATTATGGGAGAAATTTGAGGTAATTTGCATGCACAAGAGAAATCAAAGTCCCTTGAGAGAATCCTAGTATGTCAGGGAATTTTAAGAACAAACAAACTAAATAGATAAGTATAACTTTAAATTTATTTATCATTAGAAAGTTTTCACCAGAAATATTTACTTAAATGTAACAAATATGTTCGCAAAACAGTTCACTTGTAAACAATACTAAGCACCTGCATGTATGAATGTCACTGTTTTGAAAATAGCTAAGTGGGATTCATGTTTCAATGTAATCCATTTACTTTTAAGTCATTCAGCCATGGAAAAAATCCTACACTTTCCCTGATTTGGGGGGTCATGGAACTCCAACACTTACTAATTAAATAGATAGGTAATAATAGTCAAACCCTTGCTAATGCACTTGTCATTTTTTACAGAAGTTATGTGGTAGAGAGACTCTGTGAAAGTGAAGAAGGTGGTCAGGCTTTAAATATTAATCAGAGCAAGAAAATTCCTGCTGGAGTAAAACCATGTAAATGCAGTGTGTGTGGAAAAGTTTTCCTGTGTCATTCATCCCTTAAGGGGCACCTGAAATCTCACTCCAGATACAAGGCACTTGAGTGTGAGGAATATGGAGAGAAGCCACATAAATGTGAACAGTGTGGGAAAACCTTCATTTCTCTCAGAAGTGTTGGAAGACATATGGTGACCCATAGGATAAAAGGCTCTTATACTTGTGAGTTGTGTTTGAAAGTCTTTGATTCCCCCAGTTCATTTCAGATACATCAACAAACTCACACTGGAGCCAGACCCTCTGATGACAAGCAGTGTGGGAAGACCTTTCTTTGTTCTAGTTCATTTCAAATCCCTGGCAGAATTCACAGTGTAGAAAAATCTTACGAATGCAAACAATGTGATAAAGCTCTGAGTTGTTCCAGTTCCCTTCATAGACATGGAAGATCTCATAATGAAGAAAATCCCTATAAATGTAAACAATGTGGTAAAGTTCTTAGTTCTTTCAATTCCCTTGGAATACATGAAAGAACTCACACTGAAGCAAAAACCTACAAATGTAAACAATGTGGTAAAGTACTCAGTTCTTCCAATTCCCTTAGAGTACATGAAAGAACTCATGCTGAAGACAAGTCCTTTGAGCGTAAACAATGTGGTAAAGCTCTCAGAAGTCACAGTTACCTTCAAGAACATGAAAGAACTCATATTGAAGGAAAACTCAACGAACATGAACAGTGTGGTAAAGTACTGAGTTGTCCCAGTTCCCTTCAACTTCATGAAAATGTTCATAGTGTAGAAAAACCCTGTGTATGTAAACAATGTGGTAAAGCCTTCCGATATCAAAGTTCCCTTCTACGGCATGAAAGAGCTCACACTGGAGAGAAACCCTATGAATGTAAACAGTGTGGTAAGGCCTTCACTCGCAACAGTAACCTTCGAGAACATGAAAGAACTCACAGTGAATCAAAACCATACCAATGTAAGCATTGTGGTAAAGCTCTCAGTTCCTCCACCTCCCTTCGATCTCATGCAAGAACTCATAACAGAGAACAGTCCTATCAGTGTAAACAATGTGGTAAAGCGTTCAGGTTTCCCAGTTCCCTTAAAGTGCATGAAAGAATTCATAGTGGATACAAACCCTATGAATGCAAACAATGTGGTAAAGCCTTCAGACATCATAGCTACCTTCAAGAACATGAAAGAATTCATACTGAAGAAAAACCCTATGAGTGTAAACAGTGTGGTAAAGTGCTCAGTTGTTCTAGTTCCCTTCAATATCATGAAAGAACTCACACTGGAGAAAAACCCTATGAATGTAAGCACTGTGGTAAAACTCTTCGTTGTTCTAGTGCTCTTCGATATCACGAAAGAATACATACTGGAGAAAACCCCTATGAATGTAAACAATGTGGTAAAGCTTTCACTATTTCCAATTCCCTTCGATATCATGAAAGAATTCATACTGGAGAAAACCCCTACGAATGCAAACAGTGTGGTAAAGCATTCAGATTTCCCAGTTCCCTTAAAATGCATGAAAGAACTCATACTGTATGTAAACCCTATAAATGTAAACAATGTGGTAAAGCCTTCCGATGTCACAACTACCTTCAAGAACATGAAAGAATTCATACTGAAGGAAAACCCTATGAATGTAAACAGTGTGGTAAAGTTCTCAGTTGTTCTAGTTCCCTTCAATATCATGAAAGAGCTCATACTGGAGAAAAATCCTATGAATGTAAACAATGTGGGAAAGCTTTCAGTAGTTCCAGTTCCCTTCGATATCATGAAAGAAATCACCCTGGAGAAAGACGCTATGAATGTAAACAATGTGGTAAAGCTCTCAGTAGTTCCAATTCCCTTCGTTGCCATGAAAGAATTCATACTGGAGAAACACCCTGTGAATGTAAACTGTGTGGCAAAGCCTTCAGATTTCACAGTTCCCTTCAAAGTCATGCAAAAACCCATACTCGAGAAAAAATGTAAATGTGGTTAAAGCTGTCAGACTTTAATTCCCTTCAAATGCATGAACAACTCAATGGAGGAAAATACCATAGCTATAAAAAACTGGTGAAGACTTCAGTTTTTCCAGTTATTTTTGAAAACTGGAGGAAAGCCCTATGAATGTAAGAAATGTGTTAAGTTGTCATTTGTTTCGGGTCCATTTGAAGACATGAAAAAAACTTATTTTGGAGAAAATTCCTATAAATGTGTGGAACGTAAGAATATCTTCATTTCTCTGACATCCATTCAAGGACACATGATAATGCATGCTGGAAATAGACCTTATACATATAAGCATGCATTCTATATTGAAACCCCAGTAGTTGGCACATAAACTTTTTTTGGTTTTGTTGGGTACTGGGGATTAAATCCATGGGTGCTTAACTACTGAGCAACATCCCTAGTCCTTTTTTGTTTTTTATTTTGACACAGGGTCTCACTAAGTTGCTAATGCTGGGTTTGAACTTGCTATCCTCCTGCCTCAGTCTCTCAAGTCACTGGGATTATAGACATGCACCACTGTGCCCAGTGGCAAATAAAATTTTGTTTTAATATTTATTTTCAATGTCATGAAAAGAAAGAAATCCTATCAATTGAAAAGAAATCCTGTAAGTGCAAGTAATATTGAAATTTTGGTGCAAATTATTATGTAATATTCCAAATTTCACAATAAGAATGAAATGTCACAGAAGTTATGATTATATTATGTTTATTAGTGGTTCATACTGAGAGAAGGTCTCTGGACTCTTGAGTTTCCATTTCTTTTCTTTTTTAATATTTTTTAGTTGTAGTCAAATTTTTTCATAAATATATAATGCAGATTTGCTTCTTTTCATTATAGAATTGCTTGTGAGCAGGTAATATACCTTGAACATACTTCTCTATTAATGAAAACATTTGGTTATTGGGGTCCATGTTTTATTTTATTTATTTATCTTTATGTGGTGATGAGGATTGAACCCAGGGCCTCGTACGTGCCAGGCGAGTACTCTACCACTGAGCCACAATCCCAGCCCTTGAGTTTCCATTTCTTTAGCCCAGAAACATTGAGGTGAATATTCTTGATATACTCATGTCAATTAACAATGGGATACATTCTGAGAAATGCCTTGTCAGGCAATTTCATCATTATGTAAAGAACCTTACATGTACATTCTAGTAAATAGGCTATACCACACACTTAGGCTGTGTGGTATAGCCTATTTACTTCTAGGATTTAAACCTATATAGTATGTTATACTGAATACCATAGACAATGTTTAACATGATGGTAAGGGTATAAATACCTAAACACAGAAATGATACAGTAGGAACATTATATATAAAATTTAAAAATATCAAGGTGCTATGGTGCACGCCTGTAATTCCAGTGGCTCAGGAAGCTTAGGCAGGAGGATCACGAGTTCAAAGCCAGCCTCAGCAAAAAACAAGGCGCTGAGCAACTCAATGAAACTCTGTTTCTAAAAAAAATACAAAAAATAGGGAGGGAGATGTGGCTCAGTGGCTGAGTGCCCCTGGGTTCAATACCCGGTACCCAAAATAAATAAAATAAATGGTACACCTGTGAAGGGCACTTACCACAGATTCAAGTTGCAGGACTTGATGTTGCTATTGGTGAATCAGTGAGAGATCTGTGATTGAATGTGAAGTTTTAGGACATAATTGGGCACTACTACAGACTTTATAAACTCTATAAACTTAGATTATACTAAATTCGTAAAAATATTTTCTTTCCACAAGGATAACCTAAGCTTGCTGTAACTTTTACTTTGTAAACTTTGATTTTTTTAAAAATCTTTTTAAATCTTGTGATAACACTTATCTTGGCACTTTGTACAGCTGTGTAAAAATATTTTCTTTACATATTCTATAAACTTCTATATTACTATTTTATTTATTTATTTATTTATTTATTAGTTTTTAAACTTTGTTAAAAGCTAAGGTACAAACACACACCTCACCCGAGGCCTACACAGGGTCAGGATCACCAATATCACTCTCTTCCATTTCAACATCTGTCTGGTGGAAATTCTCCAGGGGCAATAACACAGAGTTTTCCTTTTCTATGATGATGCTTTTTTCCTGGAATCCCTCCTGAAGGACCTGACTGAGACTATTCTTCAGGAGGTGTCAAGATTTTTCATAAATATTGGGGGTTTGCTTCTTTTCTTTTCATTATAGAATTGCTTGTGAGCAGGTAATATACCTTGAACATTCTTCTCTATTAATGAAAACATGATTATTGGGGTCCATGTTTTCAAACTTTTAAAGAAAAGCTTATCGAGGACTGCAGCTCTCTTCTAAACCCTTCACTGATTTTTTTTCCTCCTTCTGAGTTTTTTTCCGCCCTCTTGCCCTTTTGTTAGGTATGCATTTACTCTGTGATAGGCATTTTTAAGCTCTGTTATGTTGGTATAGAATCAACATAGGATATGTGGCCCATTGTTAACTGACATGTTAGGCAGTGCATGACTATATTGTTAAGCAGTATTATCTAAGTTCAATAGTTATTGGGTTTTTTTTTTAAAGTTTGTTAATAAAATTTTTTTCTATCATTTTTTGTGTTGAGTCTGAAGGTGAGTTGGAATGTACTTCTAATAAGGTATGTTTAATTTTTATATAAATGTATGATTTTTCTGTGATAGACCATTGAAAAATGAGTCTTAGCAAATTGTTGGGATTTTCTTACTGTTCTTAATGTGGCAAGTTTTGGAACATCTTCATGCATTACATATCTCTACCTTTTTTATGGTAAAAGCTACTTCTTTTGGGTGCTCATAAAGTCTATTCCATTTTCTTTGCTAATAAAGAGTTGGTATCAAGTATGTAAAGTTTGTCATAGAGTCTCTTCATGTGAATTATTTTCTTGTTCCTCCCCCTCCTTTTTTTTTGGTACTGGGGATTGAACTAGGGGCACTCAACCACTGAGCCACATCCCCAGCCCTATTTTGTACTTAGAGACAGGGTCTCACTGAGTTGCTTAACACGTTGCTTTTGCTGAGGCTGGCTTTTAATTCGTGATCCTCCTGTCTCTGCCTCCTGAATCACTGGGATTACAGGCGTGTACCACCATACCTGGCCGCATGGGACTCTCACCTCAACAATATTGAGGGCACTCTTTGAAGCTGAGTTGCTGTTCTCCAGTATATGTTTCTGGTTTCCTGGATGTAACATCTTATCAATACAGTTGATCTACACTACTGGTGATTAGATGGTGACAATATCTGTGAAATCCACAACTTTACATGAGTAGAAATGGAAAGTATATCTTCTGGAGTGTGTGTGTGTGTGTGTGTGTGTGCGCGCGCGCGCTCCCCAGCACCATAGAAAGGTGTGTGTGTGGTGGGGTTGCATGTAAGGGAAGTTCTCTACCACTGAGATATTCCCAGTGTGTAATCAGGAAATAGAAAAGCAGTCATGTGGCATGCTCAGGTCCAGAAACCTATTAGTAGATGGATCACCAGAACCCTTCATACCTCCACTGCCACTGTTGTTAATGCCTTTGCCTCTGTATGAACAAATATCCTGATCTTCCAAAATTGAGGTATGGGACCACATTCCTTTTGGTCTTTGGTCAGTTCTCCCTGCTTTATCGCTTGTACTTTTAATAACTGTAGAATGTTTTAGAAGTGCAACAGTATGATTTCAAAAGACACTGGCCAGAATAAGACCAGTAAGTCCCCTGTGGAAACTGGACATCCTTCAACACTCTTGCCAGTTGAGTCATATTATTCTGACATATAAAACCCAGTGTGGGTGGCTTTCTGGAATCACTTTCATAGGGCACATGCAGTCAAGATCCATTTTCTCATGGCAACTTTTCTGAATCTTGGGGAGACGAGTTAGCATTGACTCTTAAGACTTCTGTTTTTCCCTCTTGCCCATCTTATATAAGTAATAAATCTACTTCATGAAGCTTTGTATATTCTGTCTCACCAAACTTATTAGACAAGTTGGTAATCAGTGCCCAGTGAACCTGCTTTATAATGAGGAAAAATACCTCCAGCAACCCTGAACAATAGCAAAGGGGTTAATACAGTCAGACATAAATCTAAGGTCCTTAATCCCTATAACAGAATTGCTGTGTGGGAGACCTGTAATATTGATGTGAGGCTTTGAAGGAAGAATTGCATAAATACATGTAGAATACACAAGCATCCCCTAACCTCAAAGCAACCCTAACCACAGTTACCCCCCTCCCAAATAACTCTGGAACAAAGGTTTGAAATATGAGCCAATTTCAATTAAAGTTTTAGTAAAATAACATATAAGACAGAAGGTTAAATGGGTATGAATTGAATTTTATACCATTTTTATAAAGGCTGTAAACTGACTTCTACATCTGTTGAAATGCATTGATTGGGGAACTTCCATGTTCTTAAGCTATTAGGAGTTCTAATAAAACATGAACTTCATTCTGGGGATGTACCTCAGTGTAGAGCACTTATACAGCAGGCACAAGTCCCTGAGTTTGCTCCCCAGCACCATAGAAAGAGCATATACCTGAAGATATCACAAGATTTCAATGTATTTCTGTCAAATATTATGGTTTGGATCTGGAATATCCCCCAAAGTTTCATGTTTTGAAGGTTAGGTCCCCAATGCAGTGATATTCAGAAGTGCGGTTATGAGAGGTTGATTCAATTATTTGAATCACGGGGACTCCAACCTCATCAGTGTTTTAATAAATTAACAGATTTCCATTGTTTAATGGAATTGGGAGGCTGTGAGAACTGTAGGAGGTAGGGTCTAGTCAAAGGGAGGGGTCCTTGGGGCATGCCCTTGGGAACTCTATGTTGTCTCTGGACCCTTTATCTTGATGTCTCTCTTCTTCCTGGCTGCTATGAGGTGAAAAGCCCTCTGCCATGTTCTTCTGTTGTGAAATGTCTGCCTTGCCATTGTCCTAAAAGCAACAGAGCCAGCTGACCATCTGAAACTTCTAAAACTTTGAGCCAAAGTAAACTTCTTCATTTAAGCTGATATTCTCAGGTATTTTGTCCAGGCAAAGAAAGTATGACTAACAGAAAACTAGCACCAGGAAGTGCTGTCATTCCTGTGATTATACCATACTATGTTGTTCAGAAACTATTGAAACTAGTTTGCAGGTGGAGTTGGTGATAATGATTAGAAAGGCTAGTGATGATGGTTAGAGAAATCCTAGAATGCTGTAAGTGGAGCTAAATGCATGATGATGGTGTGAACTTAGAA